TTCTAAATAAGAGAAATCCAGTTCTACTGCATGTTCTACTGTACCAAATCCATTATTTGATAACAATGAAATTGCTGATACGTTTGAAAGTGTTGAATCTGCCTCCATAACTGATACATTTGTATACCAACGCTGTGGTAAAAGTCCAATATGAAATTTAGCAATTGAAGAAACAAGCATTGTTGCAAAAAAATGATGACATACAAGACTATGATTAATTAATTCAAGCATGTATACAGATGCATAGCGTTATCATATAATACAATAAAATGCTTACTTTTTTATTAATAGAAGAAATACGCCAAAGTTCACGTATTCTTGTTAGATCTAAATCTACAATTAATTACGCGAGTTCTATCACACATACATTAAACATATCTTCAGAAAACATGCCTCTTGGTGATTCAACAGTTACCTAAAAAAAAACAATTAATCATATATAAGCATGAGGATATCGGAAATTATCCTGAATGCCATTTTCCTGAAAGAACATTTTCCCAAAAAGTTCAGTCTAATTATAGTAACTCTGTTTAAGGTTTTTGGGAAAATGTTCTTTTGGGAAAATGGCCTTCAGAAAAACATATTGTAACCTACATAAGTAATTATAATCATAAAATCTGATCTATACCTGTTGCTTAAGTTCATATTTCAAATTAGATAGATGACATCGATAATGCATGCTGTGATTCATTTCATGTCGTTGGAGTTTAAGAATTGCCAGTGTTAAGAAATATTGACATGATATATCAACTTCTTTAAAGTAATGATTATGATAATCTTCATCTTGACTCACAGGAAGCTTACCAATGGTTTCATTTAACTTTATAAATTTGCTCTTTTTTGCTAATAACCTCTCAATTATATGCTCAAGCTCCGTAAGTGAAGATGACCCATTAACATTGTTTTTAATAATACTATTGTATAACTCTATGCGTTGTATACTTTGTATTCCGGCATTAAATGCACGGTGTGTAAAACATAATACATAAGCCTCTCTACATGGATAAAGATAACGTTGCAAATAACTAGTAGCATCAGGATATTCCTACAACAATGCAGCCCATCTCTCTTCAAAAATTGATTCAACTTGACTATTGCGTGCATAACAAAAAGCTGCAAAAAATTTGTTCCATTTTTCACCACGATACTTGCTAAGAAAATGCTTTTCCAAGTTTTTTCTAATATGAAATAAACAAAAATGATGTTTTGTTGTTGGCCAAGTGCTGTTTATTGCTGCAATTATCGCAGGATCAGCATCTGTATAAAGTAAGGATGGTGTTAATCTTCCTGTTGCTTTGGAAAGACTCATGAATAACCATGAAAAGTGTCTTTTGTTTCATCTGACACTATAGTGGTTGCTGCAAGACGGAGCGATTGTGATTATCTACCAATATTACAATACACAAAATCATTGAATAACGATTTGTTTTTGCTGTTGTATTAAGTAAAATTATATCATAAAAATGAGCTCACAATTCTTGTTGGCTTGGACGCATTCAACAAAATCTAACAAGATGATTATCCTGACCTTCAAAACGTGCATCAACATGAAATGTTAGATTTTTCTGCTGCTGATTCATAAGTGCAAGATACATCAAACCAGCATCACTTGTAGTTTGATTTTTGTGTCAGATTATTTGAATCAAATTGTAAACATTACGGGAATGAATGTATTTGTCTGGATATTTATACTGCAAAACTTCAATAATTGCATCAGCACGCATTCCACAAATAGCGAGAAGTGCTATGTCATCACGCATTTCTGGAGTAAGCTTACGATAATAAGGGGAAACTATTCTAATATTCTCTACTAATTCATGATTATGCTCATCCTCAACCTTTGTAATATGAACGAGATTGTTCTTTTTTCGACGGTAAGCATTAATATGAAACTTGCAATTATTTGTATTATGTCCTCTGTTACGATTTTCATTTGTATGTGCTTTTTTTGTTGATTATATATTCAACCTTTTGAGCATGCATAAATACAATGTCGAAGAA